CAGATCATCAAACATGCGGTGAGTGACTTCGTAGAGGTGGACGCCCGCCTTACCCAGCTAATTTCGCAAACGCAGGTAAATGGGTTTTGATGAAGTAGTCCGTCCTTTCAAGAACAGCCGCGTCATCGTGTGAGAAAAAGTGCGGGATATGCTGGATGGAGAGAGAATTGCGGTACCTTGATAGCAAAGTTCAGGGTAAGTTTGCTTCTACGACGCTGAAGTGGCGGTTCGTTGGCCCCTATCAGCAGGTGTTTCGTGCGGATTGTGCGCCGAGATCCAGTAGCAATACGGACACACGTGATGGACACGATCAAGGGCCTTTTAGAGCATGTTGGGGCGCTAACATGGACAGGACTTGCAAAGTCCAGCACCGAGCGTATAAGTCCTCTATGCAGTCTTGGCAACGCGCAGCAGCCTGCACGTCAGCCTGTCCAGCACGTCAGCAGCCAGCCTGTCCCGCACGTTATGCGGGACAACGCCTTCAAAATATTCATGCGTTTTTGACTGCCAACGTTACGATGCTTCCTATGGGGTTTGAAAGAAAAACGCCGCTCAGGGATAGCATCAAGAAATTTCACTTCGTCACAGATTTGAACGATGAAGTCGCGCAAACGCAACACGGTCCTTGCGCTTTTTACACATGTAGAAAAGTACATACGTTTGGTATATTCGCATCCACCGCGACCGTTCACGGGGATGGGGGAGGGGAGGGGAGGGAGAGGGGACGTTTGCTGGTGGGATTTTCCCCCACCCCGGTGGACATGCTGAAAAACTCTCGTTCCCCCCCCCCCCCCCCCGTTCCCCAGTGGTTGCATGGAGAGCGGTTTGAGTGTTGGGAAGTGTGACGTCACAGATACCAACCGGTAAAAGGCTCGCGGCGCAGACCGGTGGAAGCGTCAAGGACGTACTGTAATCCGGTCTGTGATCGCCTCGTGTTCGTCCACTTGACAAGGGCGAGGGGCACGGGAGGGGAGAGAAGTCTGCTTTCTTTAATGGGAGTGCGACCAGCTTCGTGATGCATGCCGTGGGTATTACGGCACGCTGGTACAATAGAGAGGGGTGGGGTGGGGGCGAGGGGGGGGGGGGGTTTCGGTAGAGCTTACTAGAGTGTTTTACATTAGTATTGCTATTTGACTCCGTGATGTTTGACGCCACTACTGTAACCTGACCTGTCACTGCTTGACGGCATTACCGCAACCCGCTCTTTCGCTATTTGACGCCATTAGCTCATCCCGCTCTTTCGCTGTTTGACGCCATTACCGCAGCTTGCTCTGCCGCTGATTGACGTCCGTACCGCAACCTGCTCTGTCGCTGTTTGACGTCATTACCGCAACCCACTCTGTTGCTGTTTGACGCCGTCATAGCAGTTCGCTCTGCCGCTGTTCGACATCATAACCGCACCCAAATATTCTGATGTTTGACATCGCTGCAAAATTATCATACTGGTAACATTCTTTCACCAGTGGCGCATACGACTATGTCAACGTTTCATGTCAACACCATCAATTCGCCAGCTGATATTCGAGAACACGCACCCGCGTTCATCCGCTGCCGAACGCCGCGACTTCCGTGCTCTGATCAGCGATGTTTGACGTCACTTAAGCACGATAACATGGAAGCGTTTGCAGCGGCTGTTGCCCGCTCGCCAGTGCTGATGTTTGACGTGGAGCGCAGCACGCACGGCGGCTGCCTGTCAGGCGTCGGGAAAAAATTAGCAAGACGCGTGCGGCATCGCAGCGAACATCCCTCGACTGGCGGGCGCTGCATCGAAGACGTCGCGCCGGCAGAAGCCAGCTGGTCACAGCCGGACGACAAGGCTTTCGCAAGCGCCGGGTGGCAGTCACGTGTCTGCCTGCGTCAGCGTCGCCGCCGCCAGCTGATTTGAACAGACGTGCTTCCGAGCGGCGGCGCGTTTGAAGTGATTTCAGGGCCTTGCGAGGTCAAACGCGCCACACTGATTGGGTGGAACGGCGCTGCAGTGGACAGCGCCGCTGCGATGGATTTGCGGTCATTGTTGTGAATCGCGAATGTTGTCTGGGAAATATCAGACAAGGCAAAGCCAACGCTCGAAAGTACTTGAGCCCGGTAGGAATTTCACCCAGCCTACTTCAGTTCCGCCGTGGCGTACATGTTGGTTACATATGAGCTCATGTCGCAAAAACACACAACATGTATGTTCTAAACGGCAAGAGTCACGACATCGCGCGATTTTAGATTGATTATTGACGCCACAATGATGTTTTTTTCATACACTAAACATAAGTCATTCCTAGGGGGTGGCAAAAGTGATAAAGCAATCGTGCAAAAAACAAAAAAACAAAACAATGGCAGTGGTACTGGAAAAAGTCGTGAAACTAAGGGGAGGTTTCAAACCGACTTAAAACATGTTTGGAGTCGAGATAGACGCTGGAGGTGAGTACTGGCTAATCGAAATGCCTCGAGCATATCTTATGATTTCACTCGACTTTATTTTCTCCAAGGCACCAAGGCAACATTAGTGATAAATAGGGCTTCAGCCTAGCCAAAACTACTCAAAGTTTAAGGCATCATATTAAGAACGCAAGAGAAGACATGTGTGGAGCCATGTTGAGAGCATATAAAGTGAAATTTGACCTGTGGTTAGTGTTGCGTTAGACGGATAATTGTATTTCTGTCAGACACCCTTCGTGGAGTCACGTTTCTCTTGTGTTGATGGGCGTTTTTTAGGCGAGTTCTGCACGTGTTTCCTACCGCGGTAGGCGTGGATTAGAAGTCGAGTTAGGCGCGTACTGGGCGCTGCCGTCACTGCCTCTCTATGAACAGTGTCACGGGCCTATTTGGCGTCTAGTTACCAGCTTAACTGGCGTCAAGTTCGAGGCGTCGATTAAGATCGACATCGACGCAGATCCTCCGTGATGTTAAAGACGCATGTGGAGACGCGGTGTACTTTCTTGCCTGGGGTCATTTTAGTCACGTGGTTGGAGTCGTCTATAGAACATGTTTGGTGTCCAGGCACTCCGGTATCTGGTGTCGCGTTGAACGCGTTTTGTGGGGCCGACCGGTAATGCGAGGGGGCTTCCGACCGGCGCCACGTCACGGCGGACGCCACGTCACGGCGGACGCTGGCGGCGCGCTGACCGGCGGGCAGTTGGACGGCCGGCTCTGGCTTGGGTCAGTGGAGCGGGAGGCTCTGGCTCTGGCCCAGGCCAAGAGCTGACGCGTATCGGCGGCTCGAGCCAGCTCGGGGATGGGAGCAGCTGCAGGGGATTTACCGGCTCCTGGGGACCGAGCACCCGCTTGGTGGGATCTGCCGGCGCTTGGGGACCGAGCACCCGCTTGGTGGGATCTGCCGTCGCCATGATGCTGGTATGCACCGCTGGCACCAGCCACACACGGTTTCTACCGATTAGGTAGATCTGTGGACTTCACATGAGCAAGACAGTCTGTCAGCTCCTGGTTTTACCAGAAGTCGCGAGCTGCGTCTGTCACTTCAACGTTCATAATGGGAGTCGATTAAGTTCAACGCGAGAACATATAACAAATGTGCATATTTGACGTAGGCCATTGGACAGAAGTGGCTCTGATGGGTTGGCTCAGAAACAGGGAATATGACTGGGTTATGTGTAAGGAAGTGTGGGGCGTAAATCGATTGGAACAATCCACAGCGTCTGAACACGCCAATGCCCATGTACAAAGAAAATTTCGATGACACTTGTTCGCCATGTTTGACTTATATTGAGCCCTGCAACTGACATATCTGTGCGTTCCCAACATGCTGGAACATGCTGGAACAAATATTTGTTGTGACCGATTGCATCTGACCTTATTCGGCGTGTGTAGAAATTGTTGGCTGGTGGGTGGTTGGTTAGATTTGAGTGCCCTAGATGGGTTATGCATTTTACCCAACGACTCGTCTAAATTCGATAGGCATTTACTACCAGCTCTTTTTCATAGTGTAGATGATGAAAAGGTAATAATCCATAAGGGGCTCCAGCAGACAAGACATGCACTAGTGTCTGGAACTCACCGTAAACAACTTGACTAAGCGTCCCGTCAAAAACAAAAGGTAGGAAGTCTATCAACTCCTTGTCCACCGTAATGAGCCCAGACGACTTTGTGGCCACCAGGCACTGCTTATCATGTTGTTTTCATAGAATGAATGCAATTCTGATACACCAATTGCCTTTTAAATTGCACGCGTCTCATAACAACGGCTGAAACATCATTCTTACAGGGTATCCTGTTAGATCACCAGAGGTCAACTTAGGTCACCAGAGGTCACGCACGCTGCAGGTGCGGCTCACAGCCCCTTGGAGACATACAAACTGGGACACAACACCTCACATGGATTGCCATTGCGTTGGCATGGGGATGGGTCCACGCGCCGAGCAAACCGCTTTACAGCTATGACAGAGTAAATATCGTGCCACTGGCACCTGCAGACAAACGGTAAGGAACCAAGAAAGGCGCTGAAAACTCTTCGCATGCGGCGATTTGTCACAGCCAGTTCCTAAAACAGAGCTTTTGTATGGGGCTGTTTGACCTTTCCTTAGAATGTCACTTGCTGGCAGTCAGAAATGACCAACTGTTGCGACTGGAGGCGGGTAGCTACGCCTGTCCCAAGTCTGTACTTCGCCATAATGAGATGTACCAACAATATCACCGCTATTACTGACGACTGAGATAATCTCCATCTTGGCCTGCCTTTTGAGCACCTCCTTTTTCAGGTCTGTCCACAGGAGGTGGGTACTGGTCGCCTGTCCCCAGGTACACGGATTTTCTGGGACGCCTCAGGGCATCGGCATAATCGTGCCCAGAGAGGGCCGTGATTAGGCTGGCAGAAGGATGATCTTTTGTCGGCTTATGACACCATGACGACGAAACTCTTCATGTCTTGAGAAGCCTCTTCAGACCTCTGCGAACTCGTCAATGACGCGGCATGTGCCACCGACCCCGACGTTCAGACCCGCCACCGACATTCCCGCGCGCTCTCCCTCGCGCCGTCTCTGTGCCGTCCTCACCTTCTGTATGATGATGGGCATGTTGAAGTCCTTGCCGCCCTGCAGGCGGAACCCCCAGGGTTGCTGGGGCGCCGCTCGGCTGATCTGCAGCTGCTCCGTCTGCGCCATGCCTGCCGCCGCTGCTGCCGCTGCTGCTGCCGCCGCGGACACCCTGTCTCACCACGTCGCGTGCCGTACCAGGGGGAGCGGTGGCCGGTCGGCGCCGCGCCGCCGCCGGCGCGGAGCGCTGGCACCAGCCGCAGTCAGCTGGCGCCGCCTCCAGCTATAAATACACCGGTGATTCAAGGTGTTGGGTTGCGGCGCGCGCCGCCCCCAGCACAGGTCGTGGAAGGTCAGGGGTCAGGCGTTAGGTCAGGTGTCAACCATCAGATCAGGAGAGATCAGGGATCGGGCGTTAGGTCAGGGAAAGTCACGGGTCAGGGGTCAGGTCAGGGGAGGTCAGCAATCATGCGACAGGTTCGAAGAGATCGCACGGGAGCGCGGTCGAGGGATGGAGGAAACCATGGAGAGGTCATCAGAGAAGGTCAGCTTCATCCGGCTGCCAACCAGAGGATGTCAGGTTCGGAAAGTTCACTCAACAGAGGCGGTGTCCGAGGTTGTTAGGTCATGCTAGGTCAGACGAGTTTCGTGACGCCGGGTAAGGGGCGGCTGGCCCAGGTGGTGATGCTGGATCAGTGCCGATCATGCGACTTTGTTGCGGTCAAGGTCACGGAATTCTAGGCCAGAGCATATCCTAATTTGTTGAAGTGGATATTAGAAGGATGTCAAGTGCAAAAAAAGGTGCTGTTCACCTGACTTTTTATCCGTTTGCCCCAGACTTCACAAATTTACGCATTAGTTTGCCTTTTAACTCGCAAATGGCGTCGAGCGAGGGGGGAGTTGTTTAACGCCTCCCTCAGCCTCTGTCACAGGAACGGACGCGTTGAGGCAGGAATGAAGTGTCATAGCTGACATTTGATACGCTTGTCAGGGAAATTTCACGACATCTGGGGTAAACAAATTGGCATTCAGGGATCCCATTTTCCCCGCTTTACATACCCATTCACCCGATGAAAGCCCAAAAACAGAGAAGTTTGATGTGCGTGTTTTTCCTAATTTCCATCCCACATTGCTCGCTGAGAGCAATTTTGTGACTTTCAGTGCGCATTGTGAAAAATAAAATGCATTGGGGCCAAAAAACAAATCGGCCCCCAGGGACAACTGAAGTCCTTTGATACGGGATGTTGTACAAACGTGCGCGAGACACGAATAACTCGGCGATCATATTTTCTTGGCCTTGAGCAATACGCGGCCAATAAGGTGGCAGTATTCGCATAACGTTTCTATGGCGTCACGTCTAATTTGGTGAGTCAAGCTCAGATGCCCGAGGATTTTAAAGGTATTTCTTCCAAATTAAAAGATAATGGGATACTGGATCTGGGTAACGTAAGTTGCATTGCTAATGCTGCATCAGATATCATTAAATAAGCACACTTACAGCTATTGGTATACTTTTAAGTGGACCCCTCGAAACAGCATAACTTCTCTTTTTAGTAAAAATGTTTCTCAGTGCGTCATTTCTTAATGCGTCAACGTAGGTATAGGATAGTAGTATTCCTAAACTGGACTTGCGAAATTGCCACCCCGGCACTCACTTGTAGTACTTAAATATCTCGTAGGTGGCTAAGCGGTACTGAAGGTAATGCTGAACCGAATATGGTTTATGCCCATGTGCTCATGTCTTAGCCCTTTCGCATGGTGTTCTTGCACATGCATCCGTGGGTTTAAGATGCTGACGTGTACTCATCTACTCGGTTAAGGCACTATCTTAAATTATTCCATTGCAAGTCTAATTTTCACAAGAACTAAGAACGTCGTTCAAGTTCTTGTACTACGTGGCATATCGAATTATTTGTGATTAAACTTGCACAGCCTGCACAATATTGCTTAAGGGTCAGTTGGCGTCCGTTATGTCTGGAACTCGTGCCCACGAAAACCAGACAAGAACGACGTGTCAATTACATTATTTTTGACATTGAGCGCCGCTTGGCCAGTGGGTGGTAGGTGACCTTGAAATAGTCTGCGGAATGTAGTCTACACATCTTTGCGGGCGCGTAGCTCATAAAGAGAGGGTCTGTGGTTTTGAGAAGACTGTCAAATGCACCGAAATATCTTCAGGATGGATGTTACAGTTTAAAAGCGAATACAATTGTGGGATACCGCCTTAAAGAAAATGTTTCCCACTTAAAATATTGAAGCAAGCATGAGATATGATGAAATCAGCTAACATAGCTATTGGCTTGCTTTTAAGTGGAAGGGCTGTTCTAGACCACACAAGCTTTAAATATGTTCCTCAATGCGTCATTGTTGGATTGCAATATGGAACGTTTGTATGACGGCACTCACTTGTAGTTCTTATATCTCCCGGGAGATGGCAGCGCATGTTCTGTGCCACCAGACGATAGACGACAGGGCCGCCGCGCCGAGCGTAGCCCGGTCACACGAGATCGCCCCAGCTCGGTCACGAGAGATCGCCCCAGCTCGGTCACGCAAGATCGCCACAGCCCGGTCACACGAGATCGCCCCAGCTCGGTCACACGAGATTGCCACAGTCCGGCCTCGCGAGATTACCGCAGCTCGGTCGCACGAGATCGCTGCAGCTCCGGTCACACGAGACCACCCGCCTCCAGCGCAGCTCAGATGTCAGATCACATGACGGAATCGCCGATCAGATAAGAAGTAAGGCGGCGCATGGTTTGTAAATTCCTGTTACGAAATTTGCACGTAGACATGGTAAATACGAACCGGGTTAATTGAGGTCTGCAGGAACAGGCTGCTCAGAATGCTGTGATTGAGCACCCCATTAATTGAATACTGATGATATATAGATACCTACAGCGTTCCTCTACCCCAAGTCGAAACTCATAGATATGCCACTGGTGATGATCAAATTCTGAGATGCATCTAGTCTGTCGGCAGGATCCGCCTATGTCATTCTGTATTTGTACTGGTATTGCACAGGGGCAAATTGATGTTGTGGGGGAGGGGGAGGAGGCCACACTGCACACTGTATAAAATATACATAGCGCCTATTACCCTGACACCAAGAAGGTTGCATTAATTTGTTGCTAGGTACAGAGCGAAGGTTATGTCAAACTGGGAGGGAGGGGATAAGGGGGGGGGGGACCTAAATCAAGTACTGGTGACATGGACACCAAGCCTATATTTATGAACGTGACATCACAAATTACACTGTGATAATGGCGAGAGAGTTTAACAAATATCTTGTGTTTGTTTGTTGACTAGTTAACGACACAATTCAAACAACATGACTGACTGGCATGACAGACAACATGACAACATGAGCTGAACAAAACGCTGGACAGAATATACTGGAAAAGGCTAAAAAAATGGCTAGGCAACTATTTTCTAGACATTTTCCGGATGTTTTGCTCCGAATTTTGAGTTTTTCGCAATGCTGTACACCCGCGCCAGTTGTCGCCACGTTAACGTTCGCGAGAAATGGGAAGAGTTTTTCGGGAAAGGTAATTCAAAATCACCTTGGCATTCATGACGTAATAATAACGTCATTAAAATTCTGCCATTCCTTAAGCCATGCGGTAATCAAGACCAAAAATTATATGATCGTTAATGCGTTCATAGCTGGCGTTCGTGAGCCCAGTCTCCGGATATAATGGCCGTCATTTCCTCTCAATCAATGTCGTACAAGGTGCGATAACGTCATCAAACCATTACGCATTGGAAAGCATATTTGCTAAGTGGAAAATTGTGCTGTCTAGAGGCAGTCTTTTCCATTTAAAAAGTATACCGATAGTTATCAGTGAACTTGCTTGGTCACATCTGATGCTTGCTTCAATACCTTCCAAAGTGAAACAAAATCTTCAATATCCCTACTTGACAAATGAGCGCAAGGACGGGCCTGCATAAAATAAGCATGACTGAAATATTAGTTCCAGCGTTAGAATTGACAAATATGCACTATTATCGCACCATTTCACGCATTTTCAAAACCTTGCAGAGTGTAAATCAGGCGACCTCTAGCTACACCACTACACGGTAATGGTCAACCTTGCATCCACCACTTTGATGTATTAACTTCACATAGCTTCGCAGCGAAAATGGTGTTTGTGAAACGAAGTTCAGTCGCCTATGTGCAATGCCATGGAGACGGCTGCAAACGGTGGCCCTATGCTGCCGGTCGTTGCAGGAAGGTCGTTACAGAAAACTATCCACAGACACACGTAATCGTTTTCATGCTTTCGGATTTCAACCAATTTGCCATACCAAATTGGGGAGGTAGAGAGAGAGGTTAAGAGATAAGAGATGTGGTCCACCTCTGCCTGCTGCGCTACCTGGGCTTATATCTGACATAATGACAAGCTAGAGATGAATAAGGTCTCGCGGCTGCCCGTGCTAAGCAAAACTATTTCATCTGTGTAGATACTTTTAGCTGACTTGCACGATTACAATACTAGTGTTTCATGCAAGCCTGCTTCTATACTATGCAAATGAGCTTTTACCTGAATTAAAAAGAGACATTTAGGCCCGTCTGTCAAAGCCTTCAACTATGTAGTGAATTTCTACAGCGTCATAAATTGACAAAGAAAAGCTGGATTGCTTGTGCATGGGGCAGAGTAGCAGTCAAAAGCCGTAGGTAGGAAAAGCATTACTTGTATTATTTTTGTTTAAACTCGACCGTTGAGCAATTGACCACCGGGGACGATATCAATAAAGCCGATTCGAATAAGACTCAGCCTTTGTGAGAATCAGTAGCTGACGCTCGATGTCCAACACATACGACCTCTGTTACACCACTGCAAGGTAATGGTCAACCATGCATCACCGCTTCGATGCATTGTACGGTACCATTTTGTACGCTATATACCTTGCACACCTCAGTGAATGAGGTGAGCAGCGGTCGTGACCCAGTCCTTTGAGATGCAAAGGTTGTTTTGTGGGGGTATTTGTGTGTTTCTGTCCGATTTGTTGGCAATGATCGTATGTGCAAAACGATGAACAATTTTGCATTGCCTGAACAAACGGCTGAACGGACGAATTATTCTTGACACATTTGTGGCGTGTCAGACGCTCCTACTCTGTGTGTTATGTCATTCTCTGCCGTGCTCGACCTAAAAAGTCTGGAGGTGGCTCAGCCATGTTTCGTAGCGTTTCTCTATTGAATAGAGGAACGCCACGAAACATGGCTGCGCCACCTGAATAGAGTCTATTCAGATATGGACGTTGTGCATTTGCATCTAGTCAAGGCTACTAGAGTAAGGGGATAGGCAAACGTGACGTCGCCGCGGGTCTAAAATATGGTAGTCCGTAGTATGGAGTTTGGTTGATACTACGAAGCGCTCGGTGCATATTAGGAACATGATTCAAACGAAGATTCATACTTATCTCAATAGAATAATCTCAAATATCTTACCTCAAATTGTTCGTCATACTTATCTCAATAGATATCGCGCATTTTGTATTTGAAATTTTCTGAAACACAAACCAATACTAGGATCTGCTTCCAAAATAGATTCTACTGAACCACGTTTTCTAGCTTAAGTACCCGCGCCATATTCGTATATACTCCATATATCGATATATTTAATATCAATATTCATATGCAATGTTTTTTTTGTAGAATGAATAGTTATATGTAAATGAATAAGTATATATGCAGTGTTTATCATAGATCTATAAATGGGCAATGGTTGTCCAATCATCTTCATACTGGAATACCCGTATGGAGTGAAATGTGAAAATAAGGGAATGTGAGGAGGGCAGATACGAAAATTGTGCTGTTGCTGTGCTATGATCTTCCCAAGCTTGCAGTCTCATAATGTCGGATGGGTTGGGTGAAAAAAGTGCGCAGGGAATACTGTCCCGATTAGCCTAACCTGTCCCCAAGACAAGTTCTGTGCTGAGGCATGGGCCACGACTCTGACTGGTAGAAATTGAAAAACTTACCAGACGTCATACCCATTTTACAGTAAAATCTGCCATCTTGAACAGAAATGGTGCGCGCTGCATGTACGCCTCCCGGGAACAAACACTCGCTACACTCATAAGGGCATGCTACCCCTGCGTCCGCCCTGGCAACGCCCCTCTTAAGGCTACGGGATGTGCATCCTAACCTGACAATGCGCGTCCAGGGTGCTGCGAGCCCGTCTGGCTCGCCGTTTCTCATCCCCACCCTAAGTTGTTGTTGTATGTTCTGCTTATTTACACAGACTGTTTCTGAGCATTTCCAGGTAAAGTTCTTCGAATTAAGTCACTGGTGAATGGGTTATCACCCTGTTTGAAGGGGCAGCTTGGAGGAGCATTCCAGCAATGATTTTGCACCTCTTGTGGAAACCAACGCCATTTCCCGCCTGACAATATTTCATTGAATGTATTACATCCAAAAAACTGTTTTTTCTTGAAACATTTGTGTGTAAGCCAGCCCGCAAAAATAGCGCTTTCACTCCGCCATAGAGCTGGTGCCATATCACTGAGTCCCATGGTGACGTCACAGCGTCGTCTGACCGGAATGCAGTAATGCAACGGCTTGCATCTAGTGTATTTGGAGCTAGTGACGAGCGCAAGCATGTGCAGGCAGAGCAGACTCTGTCACTTACTGCGCGGCTCAGGGAGTGCTACAGTTAGAGCGTGTGTGTGTGTGTGTTTTAGGGCTATTTGTGTCGTGTTCATTCTTTTTGAGTAGTTTTTAAGGTGCTTCGTTGCTGTTTCTAGGATGAATTTATAAACCTCTTCAGGCTTCCCACGTCACTTTTGCGCCACATTTACATTTGGTTCAAACTAGATTATATTGCTGGGGGTTCATATGTTAACCTGCAGGATATTCTCGGTTTCTCAGGAGCCTTTCACAATGGTTTCGGTTAACTTACCGACACCACCCGCG